TGCATCATAAGAACTTATCCTTTGAATAGACGAAGTTGATCATCATAAACTATCATCAAACCAAGATGTATTCTAGCATCTATTTGAATGACAATCTTGCTCTTTATCAACCAGCATCAGATCATCTGATGGTGACTTCTTCTGCTAACCCATCTTTGGTTTCTGATTCCAAGCTTATTATGAAATTCAATCATGACTTGAATCTTAGTAATAGTGCTTTAATTGAGTTCTTGATACCAATTTGGACTTCTAGAAACAATATGCATCATGATAGATACTAATTGCATTCGGTTCTAAGTAGTCATTCTGACTACTGTATAGAATGCTTTCATTCTTCATGATTACATATATTTCTTTTGAAGTTTGTTCTTTCTTCAATATCTGTACTTGATTTTGAAGAATTAGAGCTTTAGATACTTCTGCTTTATCTTCTTAGACATTCAGTATTTGCCCAGAGGATCTTCATCAACAGATGATAGCTCAATAAATGACATCAAACCCATAAGTGTTTCTTAAGAGGGTTTGATACTTATATGGTTCAGATACTAGTTTTCATTGATTTCCATAGTATATTCTTCTGACTGAAGTTGCAATTCTACTTATCTGATCAGCATCTATTGAGAGAACAAACATGGAAATATTTCCTTCCATCAGATCCTCTGATGAAGTTCCAGAGTAAGCTTTGTTGCTGACGTTTCAGATCCATGCATAATCTGATTCTCATAGCCTCTGCAGTTGTAGCCTTTGAGATAAGTGCACTCAGAGTCTTCTGAAACATTGCTTTAAACTCCTCGCTCAGAGTTTTTTTAAAAAGTTGCTTTCAATCAAACGATCAGAATCTTTTGTAGCCTTGCTTCTGAGTCTTCTGAAGTTTCTGAATCTTTACACTCTTAGCTCAGAGTCATCAACTTAAGATCAAGTTTAGTAGAAGGGGTTTCTTTGACAAGGTTTTCTCTCCTTTTCCCAGAGTGCTTATTTCAACTTCTGCCTGCATACACTTAGCAAACTCCTTTCCAAGCGTAATATTTGTTTCCAAAGAAAAATATCATCAACATAAATCTGTCAGATTAAAATATCTTTCTTAATTGATTTATGAAAAATAGTGTTATCAATCTTTCCTCTTATAAAATTATTTTCCAGAATAAAATTACTCAGCCTTTCATACCAATGCTCTGGGAGCTTGTTTTAGGTTGCAGAATGATTTCTTTAATTTATAAAATGTGTTCTGGAAATCTTTTCATTTTCAAAAATAAAAGATTGATGGACACATACTTCTTTTTCATTTAAACCATTTAAAAAAATAATTTTAATATTCATCTAATTTAGATTGATGTTATTCTGAGCAACAAAGGAAACACGAGTATGGATTCTAACCTTGTCACAGAAGCATATGTCTTCTGTGTACTCAAAACCTTCTTGATGACTATCCTTGAAGATATAAGGAAGGATCTTGTTCCTGTGAGAAGAGCCAGTAACAACGTCTGAAGTAGGATCTTCTGAATTTCTCTTCTGAGCTGGTCACAAATTTTTTGGTTGCGTTCTACAGCATCTTCATCAACATATCTTCCATCTGATTTCTGAGAGACATCTTTAGAGCATAGATAATATGATCTTCATGATTTAAGGCATCTAACTTCCATCAGGCTTCATCTGAATGTTGAACTAACTCGTACAGAGTTACTTCAACCAGAGTTGACAGTACATTCGCTTTTGAGAAGGAATGTCAACTGACTTATTCATTATGAACAACACCAGTGACTTAAATCCCTTTTAACACCAGATTGAATGAATTTTGTCATTGTATCTTTCTGAACAACTTGACTCTAGGATCCAGTCATTATGAACTTCTGATAAAGAAAGTCTGATAACATATGACCAATTACAGTTTGTTCAACTGAGATAAAATCTCAAGTTAACAGAACTTAATTGTCCATGCTACTTCTAATAAACTCTCAGAGTTCATCTTACATCATATCCATGATGAGTTAGTGAACTTCTTTAAACGGAAAATTTACATATTTCTTTGAAGCTTCTCAAGAACAACAATATTCTGATGCCTTGAGTTAGGAGGATCATTGCTTCAAAATTTGAACTATCTCTGTTCCAGCCCTTTTCTACAGACTTTATTCTGAAGTTCCTATGAGTCAAATTCATTAGCCAACAATATTTATTTACTTACTAAAGATAATTCCCAATGAGCTTTTCATGAAAAAGTCAAGAGTGGACTAATTCGTTTTTTTTGAAAACATCTCATACTCACATTGAATTAATCTTTAGTAATCAAGATTTCTTGCTTTCTGATGATTTGAGATTTGAGCAAATACCTTTTAAATCCAATTGTATTTAAATATAACCATTCAACAGATATATCTCCTTATCTGATGAGTCTATCATGTCAGTTGATTCTTTAATCTTCTTCTAGGATAAAATGGAGAAGATTTGTTGTAAAAAATCTTTAAACTTCAAACTAAATCAGTGACTTGCTCAAGGTAACCCAATAGAATACAATTTTAGTACTCATCATCCTCAAAAACTGATATGAGACTGAAATTGTAAGAGGAGTGAAAAATCCCCAAGAGTATTTCTTCACACAACTTATGGATCTTTATCTGACACTGTTAGGTGTTTGATATCAATCAATAACAAAACCAGACTCTGATACCAACTAAAGGTGTGAAAAATACACAAGAAATGGGTGAGGGGTTGAATTGGGTATTTGCTCCATTAATACTTTTTCTCTTTTCTTCACTTGTTGCTTTCTATAGAGTTCTTTAAGATGCATTGCAAAAGCATATATAATAAAGCATAACACAAGTAAGGAACACATGATATATCCTGGTTCACTTGAGCAACTCTCAAGCTAATCCAGTCCACCCTTCCAAGGTAATTTTGCCTCACTCAAGCAAGGACTTAATCCACTATAACCAAACTGATTACAGTTGCACAAGCTAACTACAGGTGACTAACAAATAGACAATGACACGTTCAGGGATCCCTTAGGATATAACGTTCATTGACACCTAATAGAATCTGATCAATTAAGATCTCCTATTAGTTACCACAAATGACAACTGTCACTTGTCATCTCAAGTATTCTGATCTTCACAAGATTCCTTGAGGAGCCACTAATTCTAAAATGAATTTGTGTTGCCGGAGATTACATGAGTGCTTCTTGTCAAGCAGATTACTCCTAATTAAGTACAAAGCAAGTATTGAGCAACAACTCCTTGCTTCCTAATACAGAAACTAGTCTAAGGATAAATCTCTATGAGATTATAAGAGCATTAGTTTCCATATGCTTAAAAGCTTTTCTTATGTGAGCACTAAGGCTTCTTTTCATTAAGCTTTTCTTTAGCAGCTCCAGCTACGTAACTCACTCAACAACAGTAGCCTTTGAAATAATCAAATGATCTTTTTTTATAGTGCAGCTTTGTGAGGGTAGAAATGTCATCTCTAATTCCAACGGTTATATCCCAACGGATAGAATAAGCTCACGTGTTGGAACAGTGACCTTTTCTTTGTCATAGTGAAATGTTTGCATGCGTTGTACTGTAGTCTTCTTGACTTGTTTCTTCTAATGATTCATCTGATGAGTAGTTCAACAACTACTTTGGTATGAAAGCTTCAACATCAGAGTTGTTTAAGCACATGTTTATCAGATTTAATAACAACAACTTATCTGATGAGTAATATGCCTCTGTCTGGGTGAATCTTCTTCTGACACAATCTTTAACTTCAGAATCCAGTCTTTAGCATTCCAAGATCTAAGTTTCCTCTGAAACAGTCTTGAGAATCTTCGTGACTGATTCTTCAAAAATCATGTCTTCAGAATCTTCAGAGTCTTGATCTTCAGAACACGTCTTCAGAGTCTTTCTGCACTTGGTCTTTAGAGCCTTCAGCCTTCAGAACTTCAAGTCATCAGAGTCTTCAGCACTTAGTTCTTCAGAGGACTCATTCTTTAGAGACGCTTGTTAGCTTCCAGATCAGATGCACTATTCAAAGCAGAATCCACCGGAGCATTGCAACTGCAATATCCAACATCCTTGGATCTCTCTGATCGTGATCAGATACATAAGCAAACTAGCTTCTCCCATAAGCGCTTTGTGATACGTCACACATAATAACTCTCATATTGTATTAGCTGCACACGTTGATGTTTGTTTGTTTGATCTTATATACTTAATTATCATGATCTGCACATAACAAACATTAGAACATAAAATGGTTCTTTAAAAAATACTTAATTGTTATCATCAAAACATAGAGATAATCCCGTAGAGATAAATCTTGCTCTTACAGATACCTATATGCAAATAACACTTATTATCTTTCCACTTCTCCAAAAGTACCTCAATGTTTGAAGTTGGAGAGCATATGCTGCTTATGTTACAAGGAGGGAGTATTGTTATGCGCAACACGAAGGAGATCTCATGTTGTGTGTATGTCTTTTCTATTGTGATGCGTGTCTGTACTATAGGTTACTATAAAAATGAAATAAAATTTAAAAGTTTTTTGAAACTTAACTATTAAGTGTTTCCAAAGAAAGCTAAAAACAATCAATTTTATTATTTTAAAAAAAGATAAGTAAATCAAAATAACTATTTAAAATAAAAATTTAAAATAAGAAATCTGATTAAATAAAAAAATTATAAATTAAAAATGGAAAGAAATTGGTTAAAAGCGAATAATTGGACTGGTATCGAAGTGCACGAAAAAATAAAATGAATATACCAAAATGATCAGCAAAAAATATATTATTCAGAAAAATACAGCGTTTGGTCAAATTTTGAAATAAATTTTACCCACTAAAATGGCTTAAACTGTCTAAAAATGCAACCGAAAAGTGGTCGAAAAATTCAAATGAGCACGCCAGGTTAAACTACGCGAAACGTAAGTTAATATCACAAATGTCTGCAGGCTCGATTTTAAAAAATTTCGTCCACTGATTTTTTGAATAGTTGACTTTTAGTTTGACCGATTCGGCTGTAATTTCAACAAGTTTATTTCAGTTGATAAATTGGGTAATATGCGAGATGAGAGACATGATATGCTATGCAGACGATGCAAAAAAGTCGTGGGATCTTAGCGTTAAAAATTAGGATATGACACATCTTAAATAAAGGAAGTCTATACTTGTTGATCTTGTAGGTAAAATCAAGAATGAGCATTGTCGAGAATGTTTTGAACAACTTTATCGAAACCGAATGAGTCCAAAAAACATCTTGGACCGTAACTCTATCGTTGCAAGTTCTGTACTGAGACACGTAACTCTTGTCATCCAACAATTTCAACAGTTGTTGCATCTCACTTCTATCTCCCTTAACCGCCTTGTTGGCGCGGTACTGAATGTTATACATTTGCCTTATATTTGATATATTGTCGGGTTTCTTCCGTTTCAATGTGGCAAGTATATTTTTCGGTTGGACAAGATTCAAGGTCATGTTACTAATACAAGTCTTCTCTTCCGACTTGAGTCGACATACACTAGGATGACCTTGCAACTTTAAGAATAATTCATGGTTATGCAAACCACAAATAACACTAAATTTCCACTTTTTGGTACTCAACATGTAACCACGAACCATAAAAGGACATTCACATTTTCTACTACTGGTGTCGTCTCTTTTAAACTTCCATAGAGGAGTCTGATATTTCCCACTTCTTTCGCACAACAAAGTTACAAAAACGTTTCTTATTTCCGAACCATTATTCGATCTTCCTATAACCACACCAAAATCAAGTTTAGTTGCAGTCCTACGAATCCATGAGAGCATGCTATCACGATCATCAAACTCTTTCTTGTTATTAAAGTTAACATTGACATCTACCAACTTTACGACAACCCCTTGAACATTCGAAGAAACATCGTTTGTGGAAACTAATTCTTTTGAGATATTATCGGGGTGCACCATGTCTATTTGTAAACCATAAGAAAAATAAAATAAAATTACAAATCTGCTGTAAAAAAACAGAACAAACACGTTTCGGAGATACAGCTCCGGAAGCAACGTTACTTTTTTCCACGAGTTTGATGATTAATGCGAGCAATGTAGTGGATAAAGTGCAATCTTTATCTGAAATTTGATTTTCTCTTGCTCCCTTTGATTTATTGCACGAAAAAAGTTAAAGTTTTGGAGTGAAAATGATATTGATAATGTAGAGTTATTTAGGTTGGTGAAGGTGAGTGTGGAAGAAGAAAACACAACAATGGGGAGAGTAATCATGCATGTTTTAAATATAGCAGAGACTTCTGGAGCTGTATCTACGAAACAATCTGGCGCTTAAACTTTCCGGAGGTGCATCTACGGATGTTTCTCTGAACTGAATTATTTTGAAGTTTTTTCCAGTTAATACCAGTATAAAATGATTTCATATATGTAGCTCCGAAATAAATCAAAATTTGACAAAAAAAGGTGCGTCCGGATATGTATCTCCAGAATTAGGGGGCATAAAAGGAAATTCGCTAGATACCTAAGAGTATCAAGGGGTGGATTAAGAAATCACCTAATATTATTTGATGTCATTCTAATTGTTTTTACACTTTTATGTTAATCACGCCAATTTATAATTATTCTTTTAGATTCAACAATTAGATTTTTTTTTTAAATCACTATTTTCTTTAAAAAAATCCTAAAATAGCCATATATATATATATATATATATATATATATATATATATATATATATATATATATATATATATATATATATATATATATATATATATATATATATATATATATATATATATATATATATATATATATATATATATATATATATATATATATATATATATATATATATATATATATATATATATATATATATATATATATATATATATATATATATATATATATATATATATATATATATATATATATATATATATATATATATATATATATATATATAATTATCTATTTTTCAAACAAAAAAAAATTCATTCTCAAGAGGATGTGTCATTGTCTGTGACGCATGCATTTTTTTTCTTCCTTAAGCGCCAATACTCGTGGCAATTGCTCCTCTGTAATGCCAATGGCAATTGTGCATTCAAGCGAGCTTTAAAAACACGATTTATTACTTGTGGCTCCTATGTTGTTTTTTTTAATGATTATTTTAACAACAATATAATAATAATAATAAATGTTTAATAAAAAAATAAATTATAATATTATTCAATCAAATAGAATTACACAACGAATGGAGATAATTTTAATGATCCACTCGATCGTAATGCCCACCGGTCCCACACTCCGACGTATTTGCTTGCCTTCGAGGTCTTACATAGTTTCCCTAGGGTGTTTGGAGTCCCTATTATTCGCCTGAGTCAAAAGTGGTTGGTGTGAGGGTATTAGGATATTAGTGTTATCTAACAGGCGCTGTCGTATTCGAGTTCAGTATCCATGTTGTCGTAGTAGGATCGTTTGGTTGGATTGTGTGTAGGCAGGCTGGTTGGTTAAATTGGAATATTGAATTATTTTGGAAACAAAGTAATCTTGTGGTTTTTGAAAGGCATGTGTTAGTTAAGTGCTTTTGTAATTTGTGTTTAGGTGCTCTGATGGTGTGATGTTTGGACATACATTGGTTGGGTGATATGGTAGGTTAGGGTGGAGTCGTATGCCTCATTTGGGTTATAGTAAGATATGGTTAAGGCGTATGGTTGTTGGTGGTATGGGTCATACTCTTGGTTTTGTGTTTGAATGTGTGGCATGAATTGGTTTAGGGGTGTATCTGGTATGGTAATGTTATGAGGTTTTGAGTGGGTAGACAACGTTATTGGGTTTGGTAATGTTGTGGGGTTGGTTGTTGGATTGGGTTGGTTGTGTTGGTGCACAAGAAGGAAGAAGATGAAGATTATGAAGATAGAAGAGAAAGAGAGAGAAAAATTGTAACTAACTTTTAACAGAAAAATGATTACACTTTAATCTGTTACAAATGCTAGACATAGTTTATATACAAAAAGAGTCTCTTAAATGAAACTCAAATGAAAAAACAAATTAAATGCAAATTAAGTGAATCTGAATTACAATCTAGCATCATTCCTTAATTCACATTCAGCTAATCAAAATCAACAACACCAATTTCATCCCTCAAATTGATAAAGTGTTCAGTCTTTGTTGATTTGGTCAGTACATCTGCCTGTTGTAACACCCCAATTTTAATAAAATTATTTTATTATAATTTAATGTGTCTATTTAGTTATTCTGTATGGATGATTCAATAAATGTGGATGAGAGAGAGGTTGGGTAAACTTGTAGTAAGGTGTGAAGACTAATTAGAGAAAGATACAATAACTTAGAATTATTTTATTAATTAAAATAATGTTTTGACTTTATTATTTAAATAAAATAAAAAGATAATAGAAGTTGTAGAGATATTGAGGGCAATGTGGGAATTAGAGAGAAAAGTAAGGGTAAAGTAGGAATAGTCTAATGAGGACACTAGGTTTTTAGTGTAAAAAGAGAATTAGAAGGAGTGAGTTGAGAAGTACGTAGAATTTTTGGGAGAAAAGAGGAAAAAGAAGTTAGGGCAAGAGAAAGAGCAAAAGAAGGCATAAGGAGAGCATCCAATGAGACAACTTAGAAGAATTTTACTAGAAAAGTCTAAGGCAATGAGGGAGAATAACCTTCAATAACGGCTTATGCATGAGGGGTATGGTAGAAGAGTCATTAACCTCCAATAGGGTGTATGATATCGATGAATTCTGATTATATGTAATGTGCTGTGAGAATTTTTTGTAATTATCGATGAATTTTTTGTAATTATTGATGACTGATTGTTCTGTTTTGATGCTTGATGTGTTTTCCATCATTATTGCAACTTTGAAGGTTTTAGGCATAGCCTTAAATTAATGATTTGATTATTTAATTGTGTTAAAATTATGAATTAACTTAAGATAATTAGGGTATTGCATAGGTTGTAATTTTCTGAGCGTTTGGGTTTTTACGGAATTGAAATCGAAGGTCCAAAAGGCCTCCAACGATGACAAACGCAAAAAATTCTGCATTATGCCAATCACGACTGCGCTCATCCTAGGGGGCGATCAGTGCAAGAGCCGTTGTTCGCATTTTTTGGTCGAAACCGTTTTGGTTATAACTTTGGCTCTGGAAGTCCAAATTGAGTGTGGTTCGAAGTGTTGGAAAGATAACATAATTTCCTATCAAGTGATAATGTAATTAGAGACTAGCTATGTTGTATTAATATGATTAATTGATGAGGCTTATATGTATTATTGATGTTATATTGACGATGAATGCTATGATGAATTTACTTAGGAGTTGTGCATATGAATTGATAAATTATACATGTTAAGGTGTGTATTATTAAGTTAAAGGTGAGTTGCACATATGAGAGTTAATAATTTTATTGAGTTGAATTATCATATGAGCTCGAGTTATGTTGCTATGATGAGATGTTAAACATTGAGAATAAGTATGAAATATAGGAATGTTGTGAATACGAATTATTTTGAGTTATATTTGTTGTATTGTTGCATGTTTGAAATATAATTCTATTAGGATGAATTATTAGCATGCTTGTGTTGCACTATTGATTGATGATGTGTGTCGCTACTGCGAAAATCGGCGCCGGCTTGACAGGAGAGTCGCCACCGTGCGTTATTTATCCCTCAGAGCGGGAAAGGGAACGCTCGAAGTAAACCTCGCAAAGACGGGAAAAGGTATGGTCATCGCAACCAAAACCTGGATTCGGGAGTCGGTTACGCAAGGGGAAGGTATTAGCACCCCTCACGTCCATCGTACTCGATGGGATCCACGCTTGGTGTTTATAGGTAAAAGGGTGTATTATCTATCTACGCTAATGGCTGGTCTGAAAAGAAAATAAAAGGACAGGACTCGACAGAACATACGGTGTTCTGGGCCTACGTATTCCCTCGTGCAATGGGAAAGTCAGAGTCAACGTAGTTCGACTTCCTACGTCTAAACGGGGAAAAGGTTGCTCGCCAGGACATCGCGTCCTGTGCCTACGTACTTCCATCTGGTATGAAAGATCAGAGCAAACGTAGTTCGGCTAACTACGGGTAAACAGGGGCTCTCACACAGCAGTGAGAAAAACAAACTGGTCCTAAAGGTTCGGGAACCTACAACTATGATCTGGTCTCAAATGCGCTCGGGCAAGAGAAAAGGATAACAATTAGTCGTTAGCGGGAAAGTCTCGATCGCACAGCCGCGAGAGAACAAGGGTTAGTCGTTAGTGTGCTCGCTAGGATATCGCATCCTATGCCTACATATCTTCGTCTGGTACGAAGAATCAGAGCAGCTGTAGTTCGGCTAACTACGGATCAAGCTACTCAAAAGCTCCTACAGAAAGGAAAGGGAAACCCTAGAACTATAGCTGAGAAAGGGGAATCTACCTACTGATATCACACCTGGTTGACCATCCTAATGTCTATCATAACAACTCCGCAGCGGAGAAGTCAGAGCTCCTAAGGGATCATGGCAACAGGACTAAACTGCAAACAAGAAACTGCAAAGTAAAGGAATACTGAAAATATGCATGAATGCAACAAACAAGGCGCGGAGGCCGCAAACCACAAAGGCAAGGGAGCTCAGCTCTACCAAATACCAACAAGCAAAGCCACTCAATAACAAACAAGCAGAAGGAGGACCACCTCAACTTCTCATGCACACAAAGTCTACTTCTAAGATGCACCTACTCAGAACTATCTAGATGAATACCTAAGTCTAATGCAACATAACATCATTCAAGTCAAACAATACAAAGAGACTAACCCTGAACAGGGCCCCTATCTACAAAACAAGAAGCTACTCCTGGGCAAGGCCCCTAACAAACCTGAAACAATCTCCTAATCTGTCTCTAAACAGAACTCTATACAATACCCTAAGCAAAAGATCTAAGCAAAAATTCTAATCAAAACCCTAAGCAG